TGAGGCATCTGCATTTTTAAAATGTGTGCTCAAGCCCATTATTAGAAACATCCTGAAGGCCTTAAAAATGTTACATTTCATTATTTAGACCATCCACCATTTCCTATGAACTTCAACACAAAAAATGTATGGGAAATTGAATGATGAAAATATGATTGCGCATAAATAATGGTAGCCAATGATTGTAATAATATTTTGTTGTTGTACGAGGCCATCTATCAAACAAATACAGGGAGACCCCAAGATGCAGACATAATTGGTGCATCAAGAGTGTCCCCAAGTTTAAATTTCCCTAAGTCGAGTCTTGTCTTCCCATGGACTTACATTACAAAATTTGTAATTGGTGTTTTATGGAAGAAATTTTAATCCAAATTCCTTCATAAAATTTTTTATCTGGCAACTGGTTTCCTAAAACCAGTTGTCAGATAACCAATTTTTGTGCTACTACTGAATGTTCAGATCCATAAATTCAGCAACTTCCCTCTTCTTTTCCGTTCTTCTCCAGCTGTGGCATCTTTATGATTTATTTTATTAGTTCCACCGTTGACACATTCCTGATTGTTTCAGATGTTTTTGTCTTCTCAGGTGACATTCTCCCCTTTCTTATCTAGCCTTCTCAAAATGAACCTATAAAAATTGGCACTTTGTCAAGAAAAAGTTGAGAATAGTATTTTTCAACAGTTTCTTGAGGAACATACAGGGGAAAAACCCCATGTAAAAATGCTGTAACTCCAAACAATATTGAGCCTTGAAATTTTAGCATTTCCTTTAAAAATTAAATTAATCAAAAAGAGGGAAGGAAATCCCTTCTCTCTGGAGAATCTTTGAGGTAATTTTTAAAATTAGCTAAATGATGGCAGAATTCTCGAACAAATGTTTTTAAATAGATCTTACCATCCCATGGTTCTGAATATCTGTCTCTTGTAATTTGGCCAGAAAAAGTCAATTTTTATAAAATTTAAATGTCTGCAGGTTGTGTCAGTGTCCACATGTCGGGCCTGTTTTAATTGAAAAGAAAGTGTCCCTAAGTTGAATTGTCCGCAGGTCAATGTGTCTGCATATGTGGGGGTCTCACTGAACTGTGTTGTATTCCATTTCATTCTAAAGGTATTCCTGATGGTTACCAAAGGCATATGGGCACCAATGCTGTATAAAAAAAATGTGTTGCAATCCTACCCTTCTCCTCCTGTCAGGTTATTATCTGTTTCTTGGGAACATCAATCTTCCATTCTATACACATCTGAAAACAGAGAGAACCAAAAAAATTGATGCAAAGTTTTGGGAAACATTTGCTCAATTTTTTTTGGATAGGTTATTTAAATTCAGATTTGTTTGTGCAGGTTAATTCAGGTTGAGTTGCTCAATTTAGGTTGAGTTGAATGATTTAGGCTAGTATGGAATGAAATGTTATGAAAAATATTGAGATTGGGGGCAGAGGCTGGAAGGAATGGATTTTAGTGCAAATCTGGAGCACAATGTCAATCTGCACCAGCAAAATTCACAAAATCTAAGCTATTTTATTCAAGCATTGAAACCCAGTGTCACTAGTCTTCTAAAATTTACATTGTTTTATTTAAAAATTTGCTTATTGAGTGTTTATTTTGCTTTTTTCCTTCCATGCCCACTTATGGTTATGATTCTGTAATAAAATTTCTACCAGAAATGGCTTCAGCAAGCCTCCGCCTCAATATTTTGTTCTTTCATGCTTGTTTACTTGAAAATGTCTTGAACAAATTCCTGATGAATGCTTTTGTTTTGCATTTCAGTTGAGCATTTGGCAAATACAGTATATTCTAAATTAGCCTATTTTAACCTACTTCATAATTCAGCCTAACCTAACCGATGATTGTGAACAACTTTTCCTAAAACAAAGAAAAACTAATACTTTTATACAGTAGTATAGTTTAAGAATTATGGAATGTGCGATGGATGTCCCCAAGAAGCACAGAATAAAAAGAGAGGGGAAGGGGGAGTTAGTGCTGTATCTGCTGTTGAATAGTTCGTGTACACAAAGTCTGGACAGAACCAAGTGCAATAAGACAATAATATTCAAATGGTTCAATAAGAAAATGAATCTTTAAGAGCATATCATTGGGAAGAGGAAAGGCTTGGAGGGAGGGAAAAACGTTGGCGGTTTATGGAGGGTAAAAACAATGAGAAGATCCTTTTTGTTCCAAAAAAATTTTGGCGGATGGTGGTTGGCTCTTAACCAGGATCTCCTATCCCTTTAAGGTTAGAAAGATCTGTTCCTGAGGAAAAGTTGGCGGGAACGAGGGTACATCTGGGGGCGGTTTAACCGGGGTCGACTATATTTTGGAGCCGTTAGTACAGTGCAGTATTTACTTCTCTCCTCCTACAACCAGATTTGAAGCATAAAGGACCTCGCGTTGAGATTTTAAGCACATTTTTGTACATTTCCCTGCAAAATTGAACAGATGTCACTAACGTACTCCCGTAAACACTGCCCCCCCCCCCCCCCCCCCCCCCCCCCCCCCTACCCCCCCCCCAAACACCCCCCCCCCCCCCCCCCCCCCGTCCGATGTGTGTTTCAAGAAGAGGTGGAAAAGAGGAGGATCCAGCAGCAGGTACTGTACTATACTCCATTTACCGGTATTTTAGTTATGTTTTGATTCAAAATGTGACGCAAAGTTTCTTAAAGTTTAACCTCATCGTTCGACATTATCCAACAGCAGTAACTTGATTAGTTCGAAATATCAAACTGAATCATTAAAATCTGAGGCGAAACTTTCAATAGAATAAAAAACAAATTTTCAACTCACCCTAATGAAAGAAACCAGGAAAATACAGTCGAGTTTCTTTTCTGAAAGCAAACAGGAATCATTGAAACGGTTTCACTGCACTGAAATGCCATGAATCAGAGAGTAAATATGTTACAGCATATACACCTGCATATTACTAGCAGTTCTGTATTTAATACGAAAGATAAATTGCATCTTGGCTTGAAAATAAGCGGACTCTATAATAACGAGCCTATGCGTATCTTCGTGATAACGTTCGTGATGTACAGCGGGATTTCACTGAAAAAACATTCATTTATTTTTCATTTCCTAAGAAAAAACTTACTTGTTATATATTACCGTAGATACAGAAAAAGAGGAGGAATTTCAGCGAGTTAGCCATATGGGAACATAGACTGCTATAGATATTTTTGCATGGGCAAAATGAAACCTTGAAAATATGTACTGTTACGTACTGTATATGTTCTATTATCGTCTTAACAGCAAGACTTTTTGAATGTAAGATAAAAATTTAAAAATTTTCAGATAAAAAAAAACCGTTCGTTTCCGCTAGTTATATCGGCATTTATTACATAAGAGATATTATTGCCATGCTATTTACGATTGAGTAAGTCATATATAGCAATGTATCAAACAATAGTGGAAATACAGTCTGGCTTACTCACGGTATAACAACAATTTGTCACATTTGAAAAGTAATAGGCATTTTCACTTTTTTATTCAAATATAGAAAGCAGGGTAGATGTTATTCGGGCTCCATTAAAATAAATATAAAATCTTGCTTGAACTACTCTTTGAAATTAATTATTGAATGGATATTGAACCATATTGTGTAAATTTCAAAGAAATAAAAGTTACATGATTCAATCCGTACAACGATAAACCAAACATTCTCATGAAGCGAACCAGGAAGGGAACATAATAAATGTATCAAAGGCACGCATTGTTGTTTATGGGAATGGTAAACCATGTTAAATTCAGCAGCATTCCTGTACGAGCACTCAACAAATAACTGAGCAATTCGTTATTGGACAGCTGTAATAGCTGAACACAGCTATTACAATATTTGAATGCTCTGTCGAACCGGAGTGATAATTCTGGCCACGTATTAACTTCTTCTTGGAAATGGCCAAAATTAAAGCCATTCCCACGTATCGGAAGAAATCGCATTGAATGGAATAAAACTAGACTTTTTTTCTTAAATCGTAGTATTGGTTGGGGAAATATTTATTTCTCATCAAGTGTCCGTCTGGTTTCCCTTTGAACATTCATTACCCATGCGTCCTGAATTCGAATTGATGTCAGAATTCCTAGGGTAGTTTTTTCTTCGTATTTTTGAAATTATGCAAATTACGGTAAATTGTTTGGAGTTGGAATATCCAAATGCCAGCGAACTTCGTGAGATTTCGTAGTTCGAATGAAGTTGCTTAAAACTTCACCAACTTTTTTCATAGGTAGGTTTTTCTTCAAATAATATTAGAAAAAATATATACTACAGTATACAAATTTTAAGATGATTCAAAATAAATCGATTGGTAGTAAAATGACGGCTTATATTTAGTTTTTTGACGTTTCTGTTACATTTTTTGCTGCAGCCTTCATGCAAAAAACCCAAGTTTCCGAATGACAGGAAAAACGGTTCTTCTATAACAAATGTAGAGACCCGTTTTTTCCGGAGAAATGCCTTCGATTTTAAATCTTACTGCTGTTTCATTTTTCCTTCAACTTTCTTATCCTTCGGAAATTACTGTGTTTCGTAATTCATTGAACACCAACTCCGTGGGATGAATCGGATGATCATGGAAGGAATGCGGCTCAAAATCATCCAATTGGTCACGGACTTTGAAGGATTCATTTAACGTTATGCTTCTCAATTATGGCCACCGTTTTTCCGGTTGAAACACATTAACCTTCGTACGGAGAAAGGCATCCTACAACAAATGTTCGAAGTGGCAAGTTTCTTTGTTTAACCTGAAACAATTATTTTTGTGTTAACCACCACCAAAATGCGATGGTCTCCAGGGAGATATGGCAACCTCGGAAACAGGAATCAATCCAGTGTATATTCATTACTCACCGGCTTACGACCCGATTTCTGGATGAATGTTTGAAAGGGCAAGGCAACTAATCATTCTTCACATCTGGGAATTAGAGAATAAAACCGGAAGAATGAAAAAGGTTGTGGTTGTAAAGTACTTGACCTCTAAACGAACTGCAAGAAGTGACCAAAGCGAGTGAACATGACTGTAAGCTAATGCTGATGCATTTCTTCTTCCTTCGTAATTGTTTTGGGTAAAATATTGCGAGCACGGAAGCAAATTCAATAAATCAGGCATTTCAAAAAGGAACACTCATCAACCGAAATGAGGTCAGAAATGATTCAATGCCAAATAATTCAATGCGGCTCACTGCGTTGTTAATTTTTACACATGCTGAACGATCCCACGATTTCATGCACATCAGAAAACAGCTTTCACTTGCAAGATGATAATTCAATATAGTGCACCACTTACAGTTTTACACAGTATAAAACTATAAGATTAAGAAAATAATAAAATCCCCATAGACAACCATCTGATGACCTCAACTCATCTGAAAGAGGCATTCGGAAAATTTGAAAATTGAAAATAAATTCCTTCGACTACGTAATATAAGGCTAGCACAGTAGTTGGAACAATGAACCTTCAGAAGTTCACACAACCAAGGTTGTCATGCCACTTATTTCAACTTGGTGATGCAATGCATTGTAAATCCCCTCCAACAGTTCAAATAAAATCACATTCCTGAGGAAGATCTTTAGTTTTGTCCGAAGCTTGCAAACCGCACAGCAGTTTCTGCTTACATGTGTTCCCACAGTCTGGGAATACCTTGGATTTTCGGTGGGTGTATCTGAAAATGAAGAATACCGTCAGCATAACTTGCAAAATGATTCCGAATAAAGTAATCGTATACGTACGAATAAAATTTTTGGAACAGCTTTTCATCTTCACCGAGTCGTTTTATCAAAGTCGTCCATCCTTCCGAACTGGTGGGGTTGAATTCAAACTCCTTGTTCAAGTTATACAAGAATTTCCAATTTGGTGGAACCGATTTTCCATTTGAATTTGCTTCGTTTATGTCCATGAAGTAAGTTTCGATGTCATTAATGGCCTGGAGAAAAGATGCTAATCAAATAGAGGCAAAAATTCAGAAGTTATCATCATACATTAGACATTCTTTCTGTGTGATAAACGCGGTAACCAGCATTATTTCCATTTAACGTTGTCACACTGGGACCAATTAATCCCACTCCAATGGGCATCCTTCCTTCTGTACCATTCCCGAAGAACACATGGAAGGAATCCGTATGCTCATGTCCATAGAATTGGGCAACGATGGTGGTAGAATACCTGTTCAAGATAAAAATAGCACGATAAGCGAACAATGGAATGTACAGTATCACTATTTCCGTTTACTTCGCAATACGCAGGATGAACGAGTTTAAAAAATGTGGGGTTTGTTGATCGCACAACTTCATTACAGCATGGTGCGGTAAGACAAACCACAGAACCTACAGACTGATCGTGCAATTTTACTCTTCCAAATTTTCTTCAAGAAACAGTTGTCGAATAGTACAAGCACCTTTCGAGAAGTTTGAAGTAATAGTGACTCCACGTCGGTAAGCATGATGGCGATCCGGGTGATATGTGAGAAACAACATAAACATCTTCATCTGCTTTTTCCGCGGCATCCAATTGCAATGCAAGCCATTCTAGCTGGTTCATAGGATCGATAATTTTAACATGGTTCCACCTTAAACACATAAATTACAGGTTTTAAACAAGGAACGAAACTTGCATTTAGCATTCCGAACGGCTCACCAATTGTATTTATAACAGTAGTTAGTATTGAGGACGATTGCTCGCAAACCCTTTCTGATTTGAACAGTGTAAAATCCACCATTCAAGGCTTGCTTTTGTGCATCTTCAGGCAACCAATCCGACCACATCTTCACCAGATCGGAATACAGTAACTTCGTCTGCTCACCAGGCTCGAAGCTAAGAGAAAAACAAAACGAAAAGATACGAAAAAAAGTTACGTTATCAGTAAATAGCCATTCCATCCGTTTACATGCAGTGCACTACACCGCATGCATTTCGTTTTCTCTTCAACTTCTATGCCTGAAATTCAGCTAGTCGTGCCTTCAAGTGCTTCTGTTAATGATTTTTAGTCATCAGCTTTTCTTTAAACGACAGAATCGACTCCGTTACGTTCAAAAATCAGATACGAGAGATTTGCTTCCATAACTTCATCGTTCAGCCACATAATTCTACTCACTCATTGACAGGGTACGCTTCGTGATTTCCAATAGCAGGAATCACGATCACTTCTGGCAAACATTTTTTCACCAAGTTCAGAGTATCGTTGATCATCTGAATATTCTGTTGTCTATTCAGCAACCACGATCCATGTCCGGGAATGTCCCCAGTCCATATCAGCACATCCACATCCTTATGAAAATATGAAGAAAAAAAGCTGGAGTACAGCGATGAAATTGCAGTACTGTACTTCATATGCCGGAACCTTGGAGCATTGATAAAACAGCATAGGAATCCTCGCAGAATTCAAGATAAGCTACTTTGTTCAATTTTAAGGTGCATGATCTTCGAGATATCGTTCGTCACCGTTCCGATTAATGATCCGCGATCAAGATTAGTAAGATGGGTCATGATAGATATGTACACATATATAAGAAGATGCCTTCATTACGACATGTATCCAGGAACGATTTAAAAAGCAACCTAAATGTCAGTCCTCTTTACATCATAACTTCGAAGGCTGCATGCTTCGGTAATTTAGCGAAAACCAGCGGCTTACTCACTCGATGCGTCTTGTTGATATGTTCACAAAGCAGATGCTCCACGGTTTTCCGAGGAAGTCCACAAGCATGGTAATCTCCCCATTCGCCCAGCATTTGCGTCCTAAGGGATGTGGCGTTGCTCTTGAGATTCCTCCGCGCTTTGCAGCATATGTTCAGAAAGCATTCTCCGATCACCTCACCGTCATATTCTGGATCCACATGGACATCGGTGACATGAACCAGCTTCAAACTGTTGTCCGCTAATCTTCCTTCTCGATGGTGCTTCACAGAATAGGTCAAAGAGATTCATTCTTGTTATCACACGATCTATGGCAGCCTCTTTGAATAGCGGCAACAGGTTCTCCGTAGAATCACTTACTGCACGTCGTGCATCCTTCAATTCATTTCCTGGTAGCGAAAAGGTCCACGTCACAGGGGACTGGATGCAGTTGATGAGGCTGGCGCAAATGTTTTCCACATTTATGTCACTAGTTGTGTTCAGGACATTGAATAAGCCTTTCTAATAGATGAAAAAATGGTTTGACTACGAACTTCGTTCGAAATCGGAATATATGCAGCGAACCTCAAGCCTCGAAGCGCAATGAAACCATCCCCATCACGAATTCATGCTTTGTGAGTGAATGAGTACTGTATTGCGAGCATCATCTCTGCTTAAAAGAAAATCTATAGTTAGCATTTCTTCCGAGAATTTTCGTGCAACACCACGGGGTAAAGGAAGACAACTAGGAACTGAGTTACCACTACCCCGATCTCAAGTCTGTATGACACGTAGGTGGACAGTTCTTGATAAAAGCGTTCTTCATATACTGTATAGGATATGCACGGAACTATGTGTAGGCCTTTAAGGTGAACGAGAATACGTTCCATGATAAACTACCATTCATCATGCTTTTTCAAGACACAACTGGAATCACGGATCCTTGGAAGACATATACAATCCGGAACTTCCCGAGAATTAAATAATTACCATTCTTACGGTGAAGCACGTGAAAAAAAAGATATTCCGCACATTGCTGGAGAAACGGACGAAATATCGAATGGGGGTGTACGATCACCGGTTATGAATCGGACATGCAGGAAAGATAGTCGCAATTTCATTAGATCAGCCAACAAGGTCTAGAAGCTACAGAAATAATCTGATCACACGTCATAGTCCAACAGGCAGCCAGCGACAAGCTTACCACACGAAATCGTGCTTAATTGTTGCATCTTGATGCTTTCGAAAAATATCGAAAACTTCAGAGCATGCAGCAGGAAACCAAAGTTGTACGGTCAAAGTTGCGGATGGTGTAAGAACTGTTAGTGATTCAAGTCCTTCTCACCCTGAGTTCAAGGTGTGAGGGAAACATTAACAGCGCAATCACAGAGGAAAAAATAAAACATTAAAAACTTAGCAACAGTAAGCGTTCATGAGCTGCTTTACGGAAATTCTTCTTCTTAAAATACTGTACAGTAATTCTGAAGACCTGTTAAACCAGTCGGAACAAGTTATGTAGCTTCATCATGGTGCACTCAATTACAACACAATGAATCCATAGAAATAAACCAAGACCAGCCGGACAAAATGTCACAGCAGGACAGGCATGAATAAAAAAAAAAAACACCAAGAATGAAGTCACCAGAAAAGAATGACGATAATTTCGGCCTGTTTCATTCAAAACAGTTCAAGGTTCTTCGATTCTATGGCGAGAGACCAGTTTAATCCGTGAATACTAGTTCAGATTCATTCATAAATCCGGTGGTACTTCACCCATCGGTTCTCATGTTGGATTTGAACCCTCCTAGAAGAACAGATAGCATTTCAACATCTAGAAGCTACTGTATAAGGGGATGCTTCAACGTATCACGATCACGCAGAAACCTCACTGGCTGCTCGGTAATTCACTTCCAAACGACTATACTCCGGGTTCGGTAACGAAAGATGAAAACGCGTCTATCAATGGACCTCTCAGAGATCCGGGAGTTAATTACTTCGAAGAAAGAAAGATGAAGAATACCTCCGCATAAACTGTACACGCGTTGAAACGTATGACGCTCTACACACTATGTGCTCTTCTTCCACAATTTCCACTATATACTGCACATAAATCCTCGGAATTCCCTCAAGAAAAAATTTGGTGCAAGAACCCACATGCAATTCCGAAATTTATCAATTATTTACATCGAAGCATTTGCCCATTCAATCAGGAGGCCATTCTTATTCCAAACTTTCCTTCGTACCATCAGATTATACGGCAAGAAAAAACTGAGTCGAACGGCAGATGAACATGGCTATCCCACCACAAATATAAGTAAGACCATCCGCAGAACGCCGAAGAAAGGAAACTGATAATGAAAAAACAAGAGCTCTCAGATTGAAAGGTATTGTAAGAATTTTCAAAACAAACGCAACACAGAACGACGTATTTACCAGCTGAGCATTGACAAAGCCGTCACATTGCTCCTTCGTCCCATAATTTTGAGAGCATATTTCTACAGCCTGAATCTCCATATCAGCATTTTCCCGAACCTGGACCATGAGATATTCCGCCAGGAACATGCACAGGGAGCAGTAAAGCAAATTTGCAGTTTTATCCACTTCAGAGAAGGTTTTTTCTGGAACAGGAAGTGGAATGATGCTTTTCGGTTGTAATGCATCGAACAATGGCTTGATGATGTCAGCTTCCAAAGCCTCACGCTTGACTATTCGTGCGTCTACATCGAAATCAATGAGACGGAGTAAAGATCGAAAACTACTATACAGTACTTCAACTTCCAGCAAAAACGTCCTCACCAGCTGTATTCAGCATACTCAGGATGAAAACAATCCATTTCGCCTCCGAAACGAAGAGTGATATCTTCATAGTCGTAAGATATCTAGAGGCATGAAATTACAAACCTTCAGACTAAATAACGTGTGATTCAGAGCATAAATTCACGGTTCAATCAACTTGTAAAGGTTGTAAAGGCAGATCGCCGCTTTCACGAAAAAAGTAAGAGACAAAGCTTAATGTCTCAAGGTGGATCATCATCGCGACCAGCCCGGATTCAGGACTTGAAACTCAAACGGAGTAAATCTAGTTGTAGATCTGGATTATCGTTATCCAGCACGGAGACGTTCTAATTCATACAGCGTTCTGTCGCTAGCGTGGCGAGCCGTGAGTTCACCTCTGATGCGGGCAATGTCGAGAGCACTGCTTTTGAACGCCCACTATCCCAGGTTCTGGTTGTTGGGAGTCTTGGGACTTCGGAGAGCCTTCTCTATCCTTCAGATGGCGCGCATGCTGTTAGCATAGACATTCATGAACAGATTAATAATTCATTCATTCAATTTTCAAAATTGTCTGTGCGTTTCTCTCGCCCAACAAGAAATCATTCTCATCCATTCATGCAGGTTCCTCGGAATACAGGGCATTAGGTATTTTATTCAGTTTTTCAATCCCTCTGATTTCACAGAGCTGGCCCAAGCCTGCATGGCGACCATGTGCAAACCCTTACTTGCTGGTGCCCCTATACATAAAAGTTTTGAGAGATGAAGATTTGGATTTTGATTGAAATGTTATTTATCCTTTGTACATTTTATGAAATAAAAAATGTATTCCACACCAAAATAAGGGTTACTAAAAACATATCTTGTTTGTCCAGAGTAACACTTTCCTGGCTTTTGCACTAGCAAACCTTGCAAATCATTTGTTTCTATATAGTTCTTCTGGTTCATCATCATGCTCAATTGAGATCATTGATAAATTTGACAATTTTTCTCTGGCTCATTGTTGATCTTGAGTATTTATTTATGATTTTCAATTTTTAATTGAAAAAACTTCTTTCTGAAGATGCAACAGTTACTTGCAGAGTCAAGAACATTCTGATTAAATTATAGAAAATGAATCAATAACATTATTATTGTATATGAAATTTACTGCTCCTTTTGCTGACATTTTTTCTCCAAAAATACGTCAATGTTTTCAGTTCTTCAAACACTGATTGACCATTTTATATGTCATTGGTTAAATTTTCCTCTATTCTTTTGGAATCACCAAGGATTTCATCATCTGTCCAATCAGGCATCACATTTATCTGAGATAAAACTTTGAAAATGATATTGTAATTATTCACCAGTTGAAATATTTCCCTAATTGATTTCAGTGCAGAGTAAATAATCATAAGAAAGAGAGAAATTTTGAATGTTGTCTTATCCTCTACAACAAAAATTTGCTTCTGGCTCCTGTCCACAAATTCTTTCCTTTTTCTGAATTCTCATTAAATGTGGGTTCGATTTCCAATTCTTCATCTCTCATATAGTTGCACTATGAATTATTGCATCAAAGGATTGGTCTCACCTAAAATCAGTCAACAATTCTTTCAGTTCTTTCAAATTGGCAAGAGCTTCAAACAAGTTGATGTCTTCTCTTTGCAAAATTTTGCTAGCAACATTAATTTTATTCAGGATATCATGCCACACAAAAAGGCAGCACAGAGACTTAAAACTTGCTTATTTTAATACTAATGAGTTAGCCTCAATAAGTCTTGTATCCATACCTTTGGAGGGATCCACTGATAAATCTCCAAGAGGTGTCAAAATTTATTTTACTTGGGATTTTTGAGGTCTAATGGCATCAGTCCTACTTTCCCCTCTTGTATTTGGCAATGGCTTCAAAGTTAAATTTTTCAAATTTTTTCAAGAATATTTCACAGTTTTGTGGCATGCGAGCAGCTTGCTCTTCTTTTTTGATTTTGGGCACCAGATGCTTTCTTTGATACATTTTCAGCTGAAATGCACAAAGTAGTGTAATTATTTAAAGTTTTAGTATGATTATCCTGCAAATTGGGCTCAATAAGAAAATATAGCTAAGCTGTGATTGGAAAATGATGTTTGCTGGGGAATAAATTGCTAAAACAAAAAAGTATAAAAGATGAAGAATTTCTAATGATTGAAATTTCAGAGGAAAATTAAATAAAATGAAATAATTCAATCAGTCTAGGAGGAGACTGGAAATTCCTGAGCAAAATATCTGTATAATTTCTGTTAAAGTATTTATGAATTATTTATTTGTCTCAAAAATAAAAAGCTACATTTTTCCATAGTTCAGCAAGAAGCACACAAGTTTCTACACCCCAGCATAAAAAAAAAATGAACAGCACTCCACTCCAAATGAAGCTCTCAAGAAGACTGATGATAATGTGGAAAGTGGTTCATTATTTAAAATAAATTCCTTGATTCCAAGCCCTGGCATAAATTGGTGATAATTGTTATGCCTGGGATTGGCCTATTACAGTGCAGTCAAAGACATTGCAGTGTGCCCCAACCTAAGCGGAAAGCACTAAATTTTGTGGAGGGGGCAAACTCAGGATTTTGAGTAATTTATACTTCTTGGTTTACTGCTTATTTTCATCAATTGCCTGAGTTCCGTAAGTAAAATAATTTTCCCTGAATGATGGGGCACCTGGCGCCTCATCATCATACAGGGGTACAAACCCCCCCTTGCCACTGCCAGGATCAGCCCTGATTTTGGCCTGACCCTGAAGCTGATTTTTGCGCGCCCCCCGACCCGTGTGCAGTGAACCCACTGCACCCGCCTTAGGCCGGGCCCTGGATAATATATGCAGTATTGCTCTTCGGCATAAATGAACTTGGTATTTCTACTGACTAGGTTTAATTTTTCGAATTAGGCCAGGACTATTTCACACTTAAAGGGAGTGCAAGATGATGAAGATACTTTAAATTAGCGCAGACCAGTGTCCCAACCTGTGGTCCGCGAACCGGCGCCGGTCCGCAGAAGTTTTACGCCAGTCCACGGGAAAAAATCTTCCACATAATAAATAAAATTATATAAATAGATTAAGTCTTCCACATAATTTATCAAAAGTAATAATGCTGAAGTCTGTTACAGTATATTAATCATAAATTTTGGATAGACAATAGCAGCTTAAATTATCTGATGAAAAATTTACCTTGGCTTCTCTGTGATAGCACTTCAGACATACAGCACAGTATCTTAACCTTTTGAAATCTGTCATTTTAAGTTTTCAATCTGAGAAACCTTTCTTGAAGCCCAGAGTTCTATTTTTACAAAGATATTCCACTATGTAGCTGTATCATTGGTTCCTCACTTGATATGTGCAATAAAAGTTTTGTTCTGAGGACTGTATGGAAGGTATTAAAAAAATCTGTTGGTCACCAAATTGTATGGAACATTGCTGATCCGCGGAAAAATGCATGAAAATATACTTGCCCCCAAAAGATTTTATTAAAATTTGCTGGTCCTTGAACCCAAAAAGGTTGAGGAACTGACTGATGTATGCTGTTATACAGTAAAATCTTGTTACAACAAACTCCCAGGGACCTGAGAAAAAATTTGTTATTAACAAAAAAAATTTTATATTGAGATTAATGATTATTAGCACATTTCAGGCAGGAATGTTATTGGAGATGGGGAATACATACTTTAAAATGCTTCTAAAACAAATAATTCAATTACAGTACTTCTGATGAAATGAAGTGAAATCCTTTGATATAAATAGAACTCTCCTTTAAATGAACTAACATTTGTACTAAAGTATTGCTTGTCTTCAAAAATAAAATGAAACAAAATTAAATATGGTGAAAATACTGCACTTTGTTCTCAATCAACTTATTCACACATAGCTCTTTCAAACATTTAGGAACATGTTTATTTGAAAAATGCATACATTATAAAATGGATGAGGTGAAGAATTTCCAAAAATATGTCCTGTTGTGAATTTTTTTGGACACCAAGTTTTCTAAACATAAAGATTTCTTTTTTTGTGAATTGTTAATGCTGAATCTTAAAATGTTTTCTACATTTTCTGCCATTTATTGAGTAATTCCTACATGGGTAATGCACAGAATCATGCCCAAAAACTTGTTATAATGAGATTACAGCCTAAAATTACTTTGTTACAATGTACTTTTTATAACATTATGCCGAAGGGAAACTGCCAGGACCACAAAAATTGTTATAACAAGATTTGTTGTAATGTAATTCTACTGTACTCATTATTCTGGTGCCTTTTTCCTTCTTCCAGCAGTTCCACTACTTATGTTTAGCTCATTGGATAGAGTACGGAGGAATTCGCTGTTGTGCATATATATATACTGTATAAGTTGGTACATGTCATAAATTATTGTGGGAAAATTCGAAAGAGGTAGATTTTTTTTCTTCCATTTTACTCTCAGAAATTACTGCTGAATTCCTGCATGAATTTGCAGTTGACCTATTTTTGGGGAAATTTTAAATATTAGATCAAACTAGCAGCATCACCAGATATAGTACTGTACTGTATACGCTGTTGAAATCATACGTATTACTGTACATGTAAATTATTCAACTCTCTTTACATGGTTCTGTGCTCTCCGAAATGGCTTGAATCAACAGGTTCAATGATGGCTCTGGAGAGCTATGTTCATGCCCACTTAACAATTAATAACTGCTTTTGATTCCCTCTCGTTGATCAGATTGATACCTCGATCTCCATGGTGGAAGAAGCTCCTCATTGAAACGCACAGGCAATGCACTGTACCGTACATTGCATATTTACATTACAACACTTTAAATTCAATGGATTCCCAGCAAAAACAGCGATGTCCGCGCATGTTTGCAGGATGATCGCATAGTCCAGAGGTGAAAAGAAAAAAAACCGCGCGCTTATGCTTCCCTCAAATTCGTTGTTTGTACACAGTGGCTAACTCAGAAACTAAGTAATTTTTCTGAAAGAAGAAGGGCAAGAGACAACATGATCCTATCACCATCCCACACTGCAGTAAGCGTAAATATTTACAAGAGCGTTCTTAGTTAATGAAGTCAATTATAATAAAAATCTAGGGGTTCCACGGACGCGCGTCGCCTTTTACGTGTGAAACGGTGGAGCGCTGATTTTCGCCGCATGAGCGATTTTTTTTTATCGTCGCACATCGTATCGTACGGCGGGCGAATGAATGAATTCGTGGCGGGTTCACATCTGGCAACACTGTTCCGGCGGGAGAGAGGGGAGAGGGTGGGCTGGGGAATGGAGGGAAAGCTAAGTATTTTTTTTTTCATCACGGGCACTCTCCATGGCGGGGTGAGCGGTCCGGCCCCTGTTCTCCCCCGAGTTCGACGCGCTCCCGCTAGCAGAGCGGAGTTCCCGAATGTGTGTTCTGGTTCCGTTGCACGTATTACGTCGTGGTCATAGTGGAATATAGTGCGAATGCGATCGGCTGCGTTTGA